ATAGGGTCACCATTACCATTTTCTAAATTCCATATATATGCGTTAGTATATTAATTTTTATTTGAGTAGAGTTACTTTACAGTGTTGTGTTAGTTTCTACTATATAGAAAGGTGAATCAGCTATACATGTACATATATCCCCTCTTTTCTGGATTTCCTTTTCATTTAGGTGACCAGAGAGCTTTGAGTGAAGTTCCCTGCATTTGCAGAGACATGGATGGACCTAGAGACTGTCATATAAAGTGAAGTAAGTCAGAAAGAGAAAAACAAATATATATTAATGCTTATATGTGGAATCTAGAAAAATACTTTAAGATGTATTGCCATTTTTAATTGCCAGACTACATGGAATGCTGTTTTATTCATGTACCACATTTACTTATTTATTTAACCAGACTCCTATTATGGACACTTATTTGTTTTCTAAGTTTTTCTGTTAAACATAATAGAGGGACTGCATATGTACAAGACAGAGAGAAACTGCTCTCCCATGCTTAAAATTAGAGCCCAGGCATGCTGAAATTTGTGTGGCTTGGGTAATTTTCACCTGTTGTGTCATACCTGCCTTTCTGCTAAGTTGCTTCAGTCGTGTCTGACTCTTTGAGACCTTGTAGACTGTAGCCCACCAGGCTTCTCTATTCATGGGATTCTCCAGGCAAGAATACTAGAGTGGGTTGCCATGACCTTCTCCAGGAGATCTTCCCAACCCAGGGCTTGGACCCGTATCTCCCGTGACTCCTGCATTGCAGGCAGATTCTTTACTGCTGAACCACCTGGGAAGCCTCTGTTCTGTCTTGCAAGGGAGAATAAAGCCCCAAAGTCTTGGTTTCATTTTTATTGCTTTTATATGGTTATGACCTGGGTGGGGGGGAGAAATGAAATTATTTCCAATAATCATTTTAAGACCATGTGTTTTGTTTGATGATGAACCATTTTCATGAAAGAAAGGAACACATAAGGAATAGAAGGCCCCAACTCCTCTCAAATAGAAAAGGAGAAATTTGGCATCAAGTTGGGTACCTGGGCTTACATCACATTTCTCTTTCTAGATGGTCATATGCAAGTATTCCTTAGTGAGTGAAGTTAAATCAAGCAAATTAGAGTGTTTTTACATTATTTTTCTCATAGTATTAGACATTCTCTATTGATAGGCATTTGACAGCATTGCTGATTAATTTCTTCTGTTCATTCAACAAATATTTTATTAAGCACCTACTGTGAGCCAGTCACACTTCTAGGGTTGGGGATACACCTATAAACAATATAGACAAAAGTTCCTGTTCTTGGGATCTCCTTTTACAGCAGAGCTTAGTTTTTTAGAAACATTGGGAGTAGTTCCAATGTTCATAAGAGGACAATCCTGGGTAAGTATTTTCTTTACTTGGTTTTCTTATGTCTGTCAAGAAGTTTGATTAAAGACTTTGGAGACCACTGACATGACTTTAGACTCAGCTCTTATCCTCTGAACATTGGTTTCTCATCTGAAAAATAAACATGATGATGCCTCATTAGAGGAATTGTGAGTATTAAATAGATAGCATATATAAAATACTGTGTCTAGTATATGCTAAGTGCTTAATACATGGTCACCATTACCATTAGTATGTGCCCTATGAACATAATAAAAATGTATGAAGTATGATTTCTGCCCCACTGGGGTTCAATATCTACTCAGGAGACCAGACTAAAAGGCAAGAAATAATCACTGAGCAGTCCAAGAGGATGTAATTAAGTGGTTCAGTAAATTGTAGGGTGTTAACTATGAATGCCATAGGAATTCAGAGGAGGAAAGGATGGATTTGGGCCGGTGGAGGTTGGACCAGTGCCTGGCTCTGCAGGAGAGTGATAGAGAGGATTTGGAGGGTCCCTCCAGGTCCCAGAGTCAAGATGGGAATGAATGAGAAGTCGGCCAGAGGGAAAGCTAGCGTCCAGTCATGACGGGCTTGGCGAAGCCGGCCATGGAATTTGGAGTCAGTATGTGAAGAGAGAATAGGGACCTGCCTTACAAATCCCACTCAGGTCAATCTAGGTCAAGGAAGGAGAGGAACATACTCCTCTTTTCCATGCTGAGTCCTCGCCCAGATGATGGAAGGCTGATGCGTGGGTCATTGTGGTGGGGGGCAGGGGAGGGGGGTGGGGGCAGGTCTTAATTCGGCTGTGTGGGAAGACATTAGACTCTCTTGACAACTCCTCACCACACTAGTCAGGGATTAAGTTAGCTGGCTTGTAAAAAGCACTTAGATAAGCAGCTTGGTTTTGAATGTTAATCTCAGGGTATACTGTAACCTACAAGTTCTAGCCCACGAGGATGGCATGTACTGTTTGGTTTGCCAGTTTGGGGCAGGATGTTATAAGAGCATTTGGCAGAGGCATCGAGAGAACAAACACAAGCCTTTTGTGAATCTTTCGCACCTCTCTGCCACCTTCCTCACAGAGCTGATGGGGTGTGGGGCGTTGACAGTGCTCCTCCACTTCAAGGCCAGCTTCACAGTTTGGCCCAAGGATTCTGTGATCTCTGTTTCCTGCTTCCACCCCTGGTGTACAAATAACCATCACACTTAATGTTCAGAACTCATATTCAGACTTAGTGTTCAGAAGGCATGCCCAGTTGTTAAAAGGTTCCTTTACACTCAGCCTTATTTAAATCCTGGAGACACGAAGTACTACACAAATACCAACTCTGTAGCTTTCTTCCAAACCCAGATCAGGGGAAGGTCATAGAATGAGGTTATACAATCCCAGAGGGTTGGTTTTATCATACATTATGGTTGGGAACCTGAGTGGAAAAGCATCAGAATATAATAATCCAATTAAGGTATCAGGGTTAGGAAATCGTGTTCCTACTTTTCTGATTAAAAAATGAAAGCAGAGAGCAATCAGATCATCTGGATTTGCAATCAGATAATCAGAAAATCTGGCCAAGGGAAAAGGCCAGACAGAGAAGGAGATCCCTGAAATCCTCCAGCAAATCACGCTACCTGCTGCAATCTGAGGCGGATGATGAAGTCTCTCTAATCAAGTAGTGGTAAGATACATATAGCATTACATTTACCATCTTATAACTTTTATGTGTATAGTTCAGCATATAATCTCCATAGTTCTTTTGATCTTACAAAACTAAAACGCTATACTCACTAAACAGCAACTTCCTATTCCCCTCTCCCTGCCAGCCCCTGGCCACTACCATTCTACTTTCTGTCTCTATGATTTTCACTACTCTAGGTGTCTTATATAAGTTGGTTCATTCAGTATTTATCTTTTTGTGATTTTCTTATTTCACTTAGCATCATGTCCTGCAGGTTCATCCATGTTATAGCATGTGTCAGAATTTCATTCCTTTTCAGTTCAGTTCAGTCGCTCCGTCGTGTCCAACTCTTTGCGACCCCATGAATCGCAGCACACCAATCCTCCCTGTCCATCACCAACTCTCGGAGTTTACTCAAACTCATGTCTATCGAGTTGGTGATGCCATTCAACCATCTCATCCTCTGTTGTCCCCTTTTCCTCCTGCCCCCAATCCCTCCCAGCATCAGGGTCTTTTCCAATGAGTCAGCTCTTCGTATCACGTGGCCAAAGTATTGGAGTTTCAGCTTCAGCATCAGTCCTTCCAATGAACACCCAGGACTGATCTCCTTTACGATGGACTGGTTGGATCTCCTTGCAGTCCAAGGGACTCTGAAGAGCCTTCTCCAGCACCACAGTTCAAAAGCATCAATTCTTTGGTGCTCAGCTTTCTTCACAGTCCAACTCTCACATCCATATATGACCACTGGAAAACCATAGCCTTGACCAAATGGACCTTTGTTGGCAAAGTAATGTCTCTGCTTTTTAATATGCTGTCTAGGTTGGTCATAACTTTCCTTCCAAGGAGTGAGAATCTTTTAATTTCATGGCTGCAATCACCATCTGCAGTGATTTTGGAGCCCCCAAAAATAAGTCTGACACTGTTTCCATTGTTTCCCCATCTACTTCCCATGAAGTGATGGGACCAGATGCCATGATCTTAGTTTTCTGAATGTTAAGCTTTAAGCCAACTTTTTCACTCTCTTCTTTCACTTTCATCAAAAGGCTTTTTAGTTCCTCTTCACTTTCTGCCATAAGGGTGGTGTCATCTGCATATCTGAGGTTATTGATATTTCTCCCAGCAATCTTGATTCCAGCTTGTGCTTCTTCCAGCCCAGCATTTCTCATGATGTACTCTGCATATAACTTAAATAAGCAGGGTGACAATATACAGCCTTGACGTACTCCTTTTCCTATTTGGAACCAGTCTATTGTTCCATGTCCAGTTCTAACTGTTGCTTCCTGACCTGCATATAGGTTTCTCAAGAGGCAGGTCAGGTGGTCTGGTATTCCCATCTCTTTCAGAATTTTCCACAGTTTATTATGATCCACACAGTCAAAGGCTTTGGCATAGACAATAAAGCAGAAGTAGATGTTTTTCTGGAACTCTCTTGCTTTTTCAATGATCCAACGGATGTTGCCAATTTGACCTCTGGTTCCTCTGCCTTTTCTAAAACCAGCTTGAACATCTGGAAGTTCACGGTTCACATATTGCTGAAGCCTGGCTTGGAGAATTTTGAGCATTACTTTACTAGCGTGTGAGATGAGTGCAATTGTGCGGTAGTTTGAGCATTCTTTGGCATTGCCTTTCTTTGGGATTGGAAAGAAAACTGACCTTTTGCAGTCCTGTGGCCACTGCTGAGTTTTCCAAATTTGCTGGCATATTGAGTGCAGCACTTTCACAGCATCATCTTTCAGGATTTGAAATAGCTCAACTGGAGAGTCTTCGCGGAGAGTCGCCGCGGTTTCCTGCTTCAACAGTGCTTGAACGGAACCCGGCTGCTAGTCCCCCCCCAGCCCCGGCAGGCTACTCAGAGCCAGCCCTCGTCACCACTTGACAACACCCTCCCACCGGCCCAAGGTCCCCGCCGCCGCTCCAGCGCAGCGCAGCCGTCGCCGCCACCGTCACCGTCGCCGCCCCTTCTCATCCGCCCGCCATGACGACCGCATCCCCCTCGCAGGTGCGCCAGAACTACCACCAGGACTCGGAGGCTGCCATCAACCGCCAGATCAACCTGGAGCTCTACGCCTCCTATGTGTACCTGTCCATGTCCTACTATTTTGACCGCGATGATGTGGCTTTGAAGAACTTTGCCAAGTACTTTCTTCACCAATCTCATGAGGAGAGGGAACATGCTGAGAGACTAATGAAGCTGCAGAACCAGCGAGGCGGCCGAATCTTCCTTCAGGATATCAAGAAACCAGACCGTGATGACTGGGAGAATGAGCTGAATGCAATGGAATGTGCGCTGTGCTTGGAAAGAAGTGTGAATCAATCACTACTGGAACTGCACAAACTGGCCACTGAAAAAAACGATCCCCATCTGTGTGATTTCATTGAGACTCATTACCTGAATGAGCAGGTGGAAGCCATCAAAGAATTGGGTGACCACGTAACCAACCTGCGCAAGATGGGGGCCCCTGGATCTGGCATGGCAGAGTACCTCTTTGACAAGCACACCCTGGGACACAGTGAGAGCTAAGCCTCAGGCTGGCTTCCCACAGCCACAGGGGTGACTCCTGGTCACCAAGGCAGTGCATGCATATTTGGGTTACCTTCACCTTTTCTATAAGTTGTAACAAAACATCTACTTAAGTTCTTTCTTTAGTACCATTCCTTCAAATAAAGTAATTTGGAACCCCCCCCCCCCAAAAAAAAAAAGAAATAGCTCAACTGGAATTCCCTCACCTCCACTAGCTTTGTTCGTAGTGATGCTTTCTAAGGCCCACTTGACTTCACATTCCAGGATGTCTTATACCCCAGCCACCTATTAATAGTTCCTTTCTCCAAAAGCCACCGGTAAAGCTCACTTAAGATGCTTCCAGAGCAGTTTATACATATATGTACAAATGGTAGCATAATGTACATGCTGTTTTGGCAACTTGCTTCTTTGACTTAATGTTCTTTGAAGGTGTTTACATACATAAGAAGTATGCTCACATGTGCATATGCATACACACATACATGGTTGCATAGTATTCTACACCATAATTTACTTGTTAAGTCCTCTCTTGATGGATATTCGGGTTGTTTAAAATCTTTGCAAATAATTTGATGATGAATAAGTAACATTTGTCATTTTGCACAAGTGGGACTATTGGGAGGGTAAATTCTTAGAAGTGGAATTATTTCACCAAATGTCAAAAGATGAAATTGTGATATACATTGCCAATTGCCTTTCATAGAGGTTGCATCCATTTCTACCCCCAACAGCCATGTGGGAGAGTTTGTTTCTTCACATCTTTTCTTAAATGTTGAATCACTTGTTTTTATTATTTATTAAATATAAGTAGTTTAGACTCTAGAAATGTTATAAACTATGCCATGAGCCCCGCAAAAAATCGCATTGTTATTTCTTTCTCTTTCTCCTCTCCTCGGGCAATTTTTGGGCTCAATTTCTGCATCTCTGGCTAGACTGATTCAAATTGCAATAATAGGGAGTGTGGATGGGCGAGGGCTGGTCCTGGGGTAGGGAAATTTTTGTTTGAGTCATTGAAGGGGACAGGTTGAAGGTGAGTGAATACTCTTGTCTAGTGGCTGTCCCATGACCTCCATGAAATTGTCTGTGTCATGTAGCATCTTCTGAGCAGCTGTCCACATCACTGCTGCTGCTGCTGCTAAGTCGCTTCAGTCGTGTCTGACTCTGTGTGACCCCATAGACGGCAGTCCATCAGTGCTCCCCTGTCCCTGGGATTCTGCAGGCAAGAACACTGGAGTGGGTTGCCATTTCCTTCTTCAATGCAGGAGAGTGAAAAGTGAAAGTGAAGTTGTTTAGTCATGTCTGACTCTTAGTGACCCCATAGACTGCAGCCTACCAGGCTCCTCCATCCATGGGATTTTCCAGGCAAGAGTACTGGAGTGGGGTGTCATTGCCTTCTCTGATATCACAAATCTCCACAATTAGCCCTAATTGGCCACCTCCTTAATCTAAGCAGGAAATATAACTTCCCAGCTTACAGGCCCTTCCTCCAGGCCAGGGGCCAGCCTCCCATAGCAGTAGAACCCTCTGGGAAAGTCTATAGTTACAGCCCTATTGGGTTTTTACTGGGATAAAGACCAACACCATCATGCTTGATCTTTGACAAACACTGCCTTCTTTTTAAAAGCTATTTCAAAGAGAGATGTTTTGAATTCTCTGATTTCTTTGCAAATGATCTAAGTGCCACCCAGACAGCAGAATGAAAGAGTAGGGCTAGGACCTTGACGATCCCTTCTGGCCAGGCATATAGCAGGGGCTTTCTAGGTGTTCCTGCGGTAGGTACTCCTCCCTCAATCCTCACTGCTACTCGACCAGGTGTTATCCTGCCCATTTTGTCATCAAAATTCAAGAGAAGCAAAGCAAGCTGCTCCAGATAACAGAGCTAATGAATAGGGGTCTAGCTTTAAAGTTGGTGCTGCTCCCACAGCTCCCCTCACCTTCCTGTAGCCTACTACAAAGCTGTAGTCTTGCTTCTGCAGTGCCTCCTATCCAAAGTGCCCCACTTGATCTGGAGCAGACGGGTCCGGAGGCCTGGAATGAGCCCAGCAGAACTGCCAGTGGACTCAGGCCAGCTCCAGACACTCTTCCTCGGGGCCTGGCAGATCCTGGGGAGTTTCAGAGCAGCTGGAGGAAGAGGGAGACAAAGAGAAGGTCCCACCTGGCACTCACAGAGAGTGTAGGGGTCCAAACCAAACCCTGCACACTGCCCTGTCTGGACCGCCATTCCCCTGTGCCCCTCTGCAGCCCTTGGCCCCCTCCTCCTTTGAAATCACCCTTAAAGTGTTGCTAACTCTATTCACGGGTCGAGTCCTCCTCTTCTCCCTTCCAGAACACCCACTGTGGACACGCTGACTTAGAAACTGTTCCCTTGTTTGTCCCCAGATGGGGGGGTTCCTTGAGGACAATGTTTAACACTACTGATGCTCACTTCTGTTGCCCCAGATCCTTGCTTGGAATAGACCTGTTGGAAAGTTTGTTGACCTGAACTGAAATCTCTCACCTGATAACAGTAGGCGGACAAGCGCAGGAATCAAAGATGAAACCAGAAGACCAGGTGGGGAGGTAGGCAGCAGAGTTGGGGGTTGGTCCCTGGCTTCCATCAAGGGCTTGGGAAAAACGCTGGAGGCCTTTCTGCAGGGTGGCAGTCCCATAGTCATGGGTGGACAGCTTTGGTTAGATGAAAAGGATTAGAGGAGACCATGTCTTAGTACGCCCCTGTCCCCCACATAAGCCCATCCTGCCTATTTCAACCCCACAGAGCTCTGGTTTTTCTCCAACTCCAAAGCGTTCTCTCTGTACAGCCTCACAGTCGGCCTGTCCTCATGGGTTCTGACTTCCGACCTGGGTCTTCTCCCTCCAAGTAATAACAGCAAACACAGTCTATGTGTCCAGCTCTGTTCTAAGCCTGGGTATGTCACTGAATCCTCATGGTGGCCCTATATATAGGGTGCTGTTTTTATACCCTTCTGCAGAAGACGAATGAAAAAACAAACAAAAAACACAGAAAAGTTAGTAAGTTGCCCCAAGTCAATAATAGGGCCCAGATTCAAACCCAGGCAGTTTGGTTTCAGAATCCATGCTCTTCTGACCATCCTAAGTACAATGCAAGTCCCTTAAGGGCCATAGTCCCATCTGCTCCCCATGAACCCATGGACCCTGTGCAGAATTAAGAATCTCAGTAACATCCCTAAAGAGCAGTGGGCGGTGGAGTTGCTGCCTCAGACCTGCCATGGACCTGGCTCTGTCATAGTGCAGGTTATGGGGCACTGGGGCATCCAAAAACTTTTAATATGTTGTTTTATGAGTTTCACAGCCAAGGCCGTTTTGGGGTGTACACCACCACTTCCTTCTTCCTCCCAGTCCTCCCTGATCTGCAGCTCCACACTGATGTGTCCCCCGCAGCGAGGGAAGAACCCAGCAGGCTTTCCCCCAGGTGTGCCAATGTGTGTGCCTGCTCTCCGGTAAGGACACACCAGAGCCGTGCCAGCTGGAGTCTTACTAACCCGAAAGCCCTGCAGTCAGGCCTTTCCTGTATCACCTTCAGTCTAGAAAGTGGACGCCAGAACCAGAGCTTCACGGGCTGGGGGTATCCTGTCCTTGCTGGTCCACTGCCTTAGATGGAGAAAGCAGATGTTTAGCCTCGCAAACAAGTGGGGATTTACACAGTCAATTATCTACCCCCCCCCCCCCGCCCCGCACCCTCCCACCCCCCACCACTCCCTGCCATCCGCTGCTCATTCACTTAGAATTCTTAAGAGGGAGAGGAAAAAAAGCGATGGACCTCCTAGGGCAGCATAAACTAAGTCCTGCCCAGCTCATCCCCAAGGTGTGCCACCTGGCAGAGCTATCCTGAGGGTCTCCCTCCTAACCAGGCTGTGGGGTTTTCTCTGCATTAAGCACAGTTAGTGCCAGGAGGGTTTGGACTCTCATCTGGAAGAGAGTCATGCATTCTGCCATCCCGGAGGCCAAAACCAGCCCTAAACACCACACAGAGGACACTTAGGTTCTCCACTAGCCACCTGATGCTGGGGCTTCCCAATCACTCCTCCACACTCATCCCACCCCCTTGATATCAGCTCAGGGTGATTTATGCCAGGTTAGAAGTAGAGAGGCTGCTTTTAGTTATTTCACTCTATGCGCCTCCTGCAGGGTGGCCAGCTGGTAGAACACCCGTGTGGGCTGCTCAGGTTTTCATATGCATTTTGCCAAGGCTCCCACTGATGCAGATGTCATGGCTGGTCTGGAATTCAAAGTTTAAATTCCTTGATTTGGGTCAACTCTTTTTGCATAGCGAACCTGCTGACAGTCTGCACAGAATGAGTAGGTATGAACTCTGATTCTAAAAGGACATGACGGATCTTCAAAGAAAGACATCAGAACTTGAATATGTACAGTGGTCACTTGTGAGGTCAACAGTGACATTTTTCTTGCCCAGAACAGTTTTGGAATCTGTCTCTCGAACTCCAGGACTGACAGTCTCTTCTTTTGCATGCCTGAGGAGTAGCATAGATTTCTTTTTTTGAAAGTGGATTTAATTTTTGGAAACTTTCAAAAATAATGCAGAGCCAAGTCTGATGAATCAGGCCAGTGACCAAGTTGGGTGAGACCATTTGGAACTTAAAAAATCATAAAGCACAGTTATCAAGTAATGTATATAATAATCCTTCTGGACTGGCTCTAAAGACCTGCAAAAAAAAGAGAATAGAACTGTTTCAGGCAGTTGCAGTCTCCCACAGTATTGAAATCTACTTTGAAGGGCTAGCATTTACTTGACTTAATAGATTGTGAGTTACTTGTTTGAAAATATAAAAGTCAGTTTCCTTATTACTTAAAACCATACACATATATGTAGAAACTCCTCCTGTTGAATAACCATGTGATTTTATTGGTGTATAAGCTTATTAACCAGCACTGTTTTTCTTGTATTTATCATAGGCCATGAATTTATTTCAATAGTCCTACCGCTGCTCCTGAGTTTTCCTTGGCAGCCATCCAGTTCCTGA